AGAATTACAGAAGGTTTCATCTTACCATCATTGTATAGTTTTGAGACTACTTTTACCTAAAGGGGTCTCCTCTATGAAGTTATGAAGTAATTAACTAAATGTTCTAAGGAGACCCCTAGAAACTATTTTGACCTTTATGATCAAATACCAGTTAGCCTAGCAATTTGTGTTGGGCATGAAAGTACCTATGTGAAACACACATGCTTGTATTGAAAGACAAAGTGCTCAACCCAAAATAAATCAATGCACACGTGCTTGTATTCGTTCAGACTCTCCAACTACAAGTGATAAAGGTCTCGCATGTCCTTTGATTTCCATATACCACTTTCAAAATATATGTATACCACTTCTAGTTGAAGAGGTTTAGTGTTTGTTTGACATGAACTCTCGGGAGCCCTGAGATGGTGATTTCATGAAGATGGCTGTGGCCGCCATGGCCTGTGAGGCTTTCCAGCCTTGATCGTGCACGTGCTTGCGCTGCGAAGGGGCACCATTACAAGCCTGGCACCTCAGGTCTGGATGGCGTCAGGGGTTTGATACCGTACGCAGCGATCAACAAAATGCTTATAGAAGTGTGTTTGGTTCTCTGGCATGTTAGCCCATATTGGAGACTAGTTGAGAACACCAATCTCGAGTGAAAGTGCATATAGGCCAGGTTTCAAAACTGGCAGCTGGGGGCTGGGGCATGGCATCGTAACGCATCGTACTTTTCTCAGATGTATTCCTTCAGCAGTCGAGTTTTTCGCCAAAGCGGTGGTACTCTCAGACACTTTAGTCGCATCAGTTTGCGCCAAAATGTTGCAATTCCTTGCGTCGCAAGCTCTTCGGGAAGTCGCATCAGTTCTCATTATTCCATGCTGTTTGAGAGTTTTGGAGGACATGACATGCAGCATGTACATACTATTCCATTGGTTTACGATGATTTTCACGTGGGCAACCTTTTCTTCCCAGATAGCGGGGGCTATTGGGAGAGCTGTTGGGGTTCTTACTTCAAGGATCGGAAGAGGTGCCTCCGTTGCAGGGTGTTATTGATGGCCGTGTGCGTTTTTGGAGCTTGGATACGATGCCACTGGAGGGTGTTGCTGTGCGTTGCTGCCAGATTCCTGTGCAAGTGTACGTATGCAGCCTGGGCGCAAGCAGGAACCTGATGTGACCCAGTCTACTTGCGGATTAGCTCTTTTCGAGCGACCTGATGTGACTAAAGTTGGCGACAGCATCGGCTGTGGGTTTGGGTGGGCCCGCTAAGGAACCGTTCGCTGGCAAGCTCCGGCCTATGGCGCGATTTGCCGCTCTACACCCCGTGGGGGTTATTGGAAAGCACGCGTGGCCGCCCAGGAGATCCAAGGAGATCCACGTCGTAAAGGAGTTGGATGATGTTCGATTTGTTGGGAGAAGCTCCGGGTTCCAGAGTGTTTTAGAAGGTTTAAGACAGTGAACTTGAAAACAACTCATGAAAACATAGGCTGACAAATCATAAGGTAAGGGTTTTCGGATGTTTTCGGGTAGAAGGCAGATTGCAGTTCAAAGTTCTAACCATGTTTGCAAACCAACGAGTCCACTCCAATACCAGCGGCACCATTTCTGAGGAAGCAGCCGAGCGTGAGCTGTGCGGTGACAGTGGCGCCCGTGAGGAAGCTCAATGGTCCTCAATCGAGTTCATGTCACCCTTGTGGAATCCTTTGACGGTAGGTGCCAGCGCATATTGGACCAAACGCCACTAGAGTTGTGCCACAACCAAGCACACTTTGCAACAGGTTCTCCATGTTCTTCACATAGCAGTTCTAATGCCAAGAAGGGTCGCGTTTTGGGGGGACCTATGTGAAGATAAGACAGCCTCAATTTTGATGTTTGGCATTTTGTCGGGATGAGCGAGTTTGAGAGATGCGACATCATGCGACCAGAAGAGAAACCATCCTCGACCGACATTCTGTTGCATGGGAACCACACCGCTTTGGTGAGGACTCAGGGTTTGACAGAAGTTTGTGTTTATACATGGTGTTTGCTCATATGCGGTCAAAAAGGATGATCCGCCTCTTCTCAACCGAAGAAGCGCCAATACATAGCTCTGAGGCGCCGATACCCAAGGAGCCAGGGCCTCAGAGTCGTTCATCAGGTAGGAGGAGTGTCACCGGAGGATACGGCAAGTGAATGCAAGTGATGTAATTGAAGTGGCCCAAAGATTTATAAAGGAAGTTGTCACCATCCGTTCTTCCAATCCGAAGTGCCCACCAATTCTAAGATTGTGATTTGTTGGGGGAGGACTGCCAGGCTGTGACCTCAACGATGGTCCTTCGCCAAGGTAGGGTAGCACACGGGTTGGACACGCAGATGTTTCCTCACGCTTTTGAAGGAAGCACCGGCCGTCTCTGGTGCCCATGGTCGCTGGCTGCGTGAGGCTCTTGGCACCATATGCAGTGCTCCCCACATCTCCACCTGCAAGCCCCAGGTGAGGAGTTCTGTTCTTTTTTGGTGTTATGTGCGACTCAGGCTGCCTTGCTGCGGGTGAACATGTCGCGGACTACCTTAATTAGACGCAAATTGGAGTTGTGGAGAGAGTTGTAGCTCAAGGGTGCAAGCAAAACCGTGTTCTACATGGTGGGGGCACTCGACTGTTATGTTTGGTTTTGGCATGTCAAATGCTGGTGTGGTGTATGCAGTTTTGACCCACGTCAACCTAAACAAAACATCTATGCCCAGCCAAGTTTGAGAGGCTTTGTCCATAGCAGCAATGCGCCCACATAGCAGCAATGCGCCCACATACCTTGCGATAATTGGAGGCTTTCTTTAAGATGGAATGGGGGCAAGGCGGTCACAGCATAGAGTCTGTCAGACGCCCCGGCAAGCTTTGCTACAGTGTAACTCTACCGTTGAAGACCGATGATCATTTAGATTGATTTCTGCGTGGCAACCATGGCAGCAACCGGGATGATGACAACGACGACGAGGATGTTGATGACGACGATGATGATGGTGGTGATGATGGTGGGGGTGGCGTCAAGTCACCATCCAGACCCCAACGAGGGAAATCCAATTCGGCAGGCCCCACACTGCTCGCGACCATTATCAGAAAGCCATGTGCCGGGAGCCCCAGTGGAGAGCTCGATCACATTGGAATGATGAAAGCCTCCGTGCAGTTCTGTCATATCCAATCACATTCAATCAAAAGAACATCGATCAGATCAACTTGCAGCTCGATTGGCTGTATAGGTTGCCCAAGTTAGATGCCTTTTTGTACCCTTTTTGTTCAGATGAATGTTGTAGTTCTAGATCCTCATAAACATGAGTGGTACCCTTGTTACTTTTGGCTCAAGTAAATAGGAACGTTGCTACTTTCTGTTCATGGTAGCGGAGCGCTCGGTGCGACTCCGGTAGATGTTCACCCTTTGGGATACCCTTCGGACTCGTTTGTGCCAGCGGGATCAGGCTGCTGTGAGGGTGCTGAGGTTGTGGCGCCGGTTGATTAATCGGCTGTTCAGGATTCGGAGGCTTCAACGCATCTTCGGATACCTGGGACATCATCTCCAAGACCTGATTGTCAGTCAGGCACTCAGGCAACGGCTGTTGAATTCTCGGTTGGCTCGACCGGGAGCAGCTGATCAGTAATGGCCACCCTCGAGCAGATCGCGGCCCAGGTTGTAACCTTCCTGGGGGACCATTTGAACACCAAAAACAAGGTCGAAGGTCAAATGGCCATTTGGACACGAAAAAACGGTATGGCCGTGAACAATTATTTGGCCGTGAAAAAGCCGAAGGCCGTGAAAAAGTGTGCATTTGGACGTGAAAAAACGGCTCTTGGCCGCGAAAAGGCGTGAAAAACGTGAACTCAAGGAGTTGAAACCGTGCAAAAACCAAATGGCCGTGAAAACGGGCAATGGCATCAAAGCTTTACAAAATAGGGTCGAGAGCTGTTTGATCGCATTTGTAGTGATCGAATGGCTCCCCAGGTTGAGGAATGAGTTGAATGAGAGTCGAAGGAGAGAAGAGGACTTGAACAACAGACTTCAAGCGGTTCAGAGTACAGGGGCTATGCAGACAGCTTTGCAGGAGATGGTCAGCACGCAGAAGGCCATCCTGGAAGCGTCCAAGAAGCCAGATAAGAAGTTGACTCTGGTGGACAACCGCGGTTTGGCAAAGCCAAGCAACTTTGATGGTAACTCGGATTTCCTCCAATGGAAGATCCGGTTGGAATCTTTTGTTGAGTCCGTTCATGGTGACTTCGGCCAAGCGATGGCTTGGGCAGAAGACGAAACAGATCCAATCAGCAACGCATCCGATTCCATGAAGGCCGAGTTTGGTGAGGAAACTCCGGAACAGGAGACAATACCAGACCTGGAATCAAAAGATGCACAACTTTACGCTGTTCTCCAAACTCTTTGCGAGAAAGAGGCATTCACGCTCGTGAGAAGCGCAGGTAAAGGCAAAGGCTTAGAAGCTTGGAGGCGACTGTGCAAGCGGTTCGATCCTTCGACTGGAGGTCGTCGGAGGGCACTGCTTCGTTCGGTGTTGAATCCGAACCGTTGCAACAAGGTTGAGGAGTTGAGCGCAGCTGTCGAGAACTGGGAAGACCAGGTTCGACAATACGAGAATCGGCGCTTTGGATGAGGACATTAAGATCTCCATCTTGGAGTCTATTTGTCCGGTTGAGGTTGAACGACATCTTCAACTCAACCAAGCACGCTTTGCAGACTATTTTGAAGTCCGGAAGGAGCTCTCCACGTATTTGGAGACGCGCATTGGACTGAAGCTCAAGTCCGGTGGCGGTCATTCCAGTTCGGATTACAGCCCATGGACATAGGCGCACTTGCAGGCGGAGACAAGAAGAAGAATGCCACATGCCACAACTGTGGTAAGCTCGGACACTACAAATCCGAGCGTTGGGCTTGCGAACTCCAAAGAGTGGGGCGTTGGAAAAATTCACAACATCGTCCTTTCAAAAGAGCAGCAGCTCTTGATTTTTTTCTGGAAGTGTAGGGTTGCAGAAACCTCTGAGCTGTACACATGTTGCAAATTAATGCCGTTGGAAATCCAAAACGGTCAGCACAGCATTAATGGTATTGGATCAGTCTGACCCTGAGCTCTCAGAGTCGATTGGAACTGGAAGGCGGTTCCTTCTGCAATAAGCGATGTAAAGTTCTTTGCCAAATTGCTTTGCAGAATCAAGTTCCTGAGCTGCAGCGAAGCAAATTAGAGGAAACAGTGGGCACAATGGAGAACTTACAATGCAAACCAGTGGCGCTAGCCATCATAGATTGAATGTGGCGCTCCAATTTCCAATTTGGTGTTCTCTTCAGCGTCCTCTTCTGAACCAACCATATGTCAGGCTTAACTTGAGCCACATGCTCCTTTTTCATAGGTGGCTTCGGCACCAGCCATTGCTGTGCATGCTTGGGGGCCATTGCAAAAAGAGAGTGTGTTGCACACCCTTGTGCCAAAACTTCAACCAAAATTGGACAACAATTACATTTAAAGGTAAAGGACAAAAACTCACTAGAACTCTCAGGAAAGTGGAAAGCTCTCAGGAAAGTGGAAAGTCAGTCAAGAAAGTGGAAAGTCATGAGGAAAGTGGAAATTGTACATTTTTTCACACACCCCGCCCAAGCTCATAGCTTAGGTTGCACCCCTGCCATTGCTTTACGCAAGGCTGTTGGAATTTAATCCACACCCTGCACAGAATCACAAAAGGCCAAGGCGTGAGCATGGCCCTCTTGGGCTTGGGTTCTGCCCAAAAAGTCATCCATCTTGTGATACACTCTGGATGCAAAGTTTTTTGCGTCCATTTTCAATTTCTTTTGTGCATCTAGAGAAAAAAGTTCCTTCAAAGCAGCCATACGGGTCTTCTTTACCAAGAACCTTCTGAAGCGTGGCCAGGGTCACCTTCTGGGACTTTGTCTTCGGTTTCTTGAGCTCCTTCTTTTGAGTCACCTGCTCCTTCTCCTTCTTGTTGACATTCTTGCGCTTTGGTTTCTTGTTCTTTTTCTCAGTGTTTCCACCAAGAACTCCACTCTTGGCAGATTCCATCGCCACAGTCTCTGCTAGGTCCAAGAAGCTAGAGGTGTGCAAAAACTGTGCGGTGTAGTGAGCCTGCACATGTAGAGTACAGAAAGAGAACATTGGCTGTTAGAGAACATAGAACGCACACATAAAACTGACTTGAAAGGCATGTGGGGCGCCAAAGAAACTCCGCCATCATCGATGTTGGGTTTCTGCACTGCCTCTTGCCCCAATGCCAAAGACCCTTGCCCCAAAGTAGGCGCTGAAGCCACAGGTAGGACAGGAGGTGCATGTAGGACAGGAGGTGCTGTCTCTCTTGGCTTTGTAGATGTGCTTCCTGCGCTCTGTTGCTTGGGCTCGGAAGTCTCACTGCAAAAGTTGGCCGCCAGGATGCGACAAAGACGGAGGAAACATGCCTGCTGTCTCTCAGTGAGTTTCTTGTTCAAAGTTTCCCAACCCTCTTTGATCAAGTTTCTCACCTTGGTGGCCATTTGCCTGATCTTGGTCATGATATAGTTGGATACTGCGTCGAAAGATTCCTTGCCCACCTCAAAGGGGGCCTCTGCGTGGGAAGCCTTCCAAGCCTGAGATGTGTGAAGCAAAAAGTGGTCAACGCGAGCATGAAAGCACAGAAAATTGACTGGCCCAGGAACCTCTTGCAAACTCTTGTCTGGCACCAAACCATTTGTGCAGACCATCAGGAGTGCCGCCAACACGTGCTCAAAAGCGAGAAAAGCAGAGACATGTTTTGCTGGACTGGTTTTCCAAGACATCCCTTGCAATGGCGGAACAAGGCTTGTCAAACAACGATGGCCCACCTGCCAGGGGATGATGAAACAGTCCAGGACCAAGGTCCATAATGTATCAGAAAATGGAAAATTGAAAAGAAGCATTGGAAAGCTTGAATGGAACACTGGTCCTGACAGAATCCGTCATCCAAGGCTTTCTGTAAGGCTGACACGGTAACTGTCGGAAGCACTTTGATTCTCTCATTGCTCCCTGCAAGATCCATGGCTGGATTTAGAGGTTCAGCTCTCAAAAATGCTACCGCTGCACAGGGCCCAGACAGTCGTAGCTGCGAGGAGGAACAAACTATATATCTAAGCAGTAAGCGCAGAAAAATCAGAAATCAATCTCTCTTAAAGCATCTTTCAGAAAGAATGAATATCTCACTCTCTCTCTCTCTTTCTTTTTCAGAAAGAAAGAAACTCTCAGCAATGAATATTTCACGCTCTCTCTCACATAAGTACACTCTCAGAAATAAATATATCTCACTCACTCACTCTCTCTCTCTCTCTCTCTCGCTCTCTCCAAGTTGTAGCATTTTGCAACCATGCTTATCACCGGACTATAGATCTGTAGATCCATCATCTCGCCTCATCACCTAATCCTCCAGGAGGATCGCTTCAAATCCAGCGTGAGGGCTATGACGTAACGCTCCATGAACATTTGAAGGGATTGCAGTGAGCCCCTGCCCTTTAAGCAAGAGTGCATCAGCTGCTTGCAGAAACTCATGTATGTTTCTCCACTGTAGCACCAAACCAGGCGTGGGGAAATATGGCCAGACATCATAACACTGTGTTGAAGCCAGTGTGCTTTAAATGTGCCACACTGAAACAATTTACGATTCTCTTCTTGTTGGAAATGCGCGCACAAAGCTGTGTTGCACGTCAGAAACAGATGTGAAAGAATCAACATGTCATTGGCCTTTTCTGTGGTCAGATGCCAATCGTCTTCATGGCTTTTCAGGATTGCGTCCATACCAGCTGTAGCTTCAAGAGCTATTTTCACCCATTGGTGCACTTGGTTGGTTTTGTTCATTCGTTGATTCCAAAGAAACACGAATGCTTTCAACACCAGTTGGGTTTCAGCAGCTTTCAGCTTGAGGCGAGGAAATTTCTTCCTACATTCCTTGTCGTTGATGTCGCAGATCATGCCTGCAGGCAGTGGACATCAATACACATCAAACTGTTTTCAAAGAACCACCAAAGCAAAAAGTTGCTAAGTGTTGTATTTGCCTAGCTGCCGCAAGTCAAGTTGTTGACGCCAGAGTCTAGACGGTTCTGAGACCAAAAATCCTGAGCCAAACTTCTCAACTGTGAGATTGAATCTCTCAGAAATTGATCTCTCGGAAAGGAATCTCAGAGAAAGGAACCAAAACAGAAACTATATAAGAAAGAGTGTCTTTCATGGCATGCACCAAACTGAAAAGCCGATCATCTAGAGATTGAGATCGATCTGCCAAGTGGAAAAGGAACAGCCATGCCACTGAACCTAGAAAGCGTTGGTCAGTTCCTAAATGCTTGGAATGCATGTAGTCTGGGCAGATGGCCTTTGGCGACAACAGTCGCCGGAACAGGGGGCATTGGTGCTGTCGAGGCAACACCCAAGTGTCATCCTGACAGCCTCGAATGTCCTCCCAAGCAACCACCCTGTTCTGTGACACAGTGCAGAGGCTGCAGGGATTCCTCGCGTTCCACCTTGGGAGCTGGTGATGATCTGCAAAATACTCAAGATCTCCCGTGGTGAAAACTGGCACCCCAATGAACCCCCCTGTGTGAGCACCATCAGACTCCTGCATCTTGATGAATGAATCGCACAGATGTGCCCAAATGCTCTTGCTCGAATGCATAGCATTGCTCTTGGCGCAAATGTGCGTCCAGCAGGAAGCCATCAAGAAGTGCTTGCTGGCTCTCCCCACCAGTGATCGAAAGCTGATGAAGAGGCAAGACTTTGCTGCACTTCCAATAGGCTGCGTCAGATGCACCGTCTCCGTGCAGAACCAGGGGCACCGCTCTTGATTGATAACCAGGAACTGACTTGATTGGGTGGTTTACCAGAGCAGGGTGGTCCCCGACCTCCAACCAAAAGGGTTTGGATGCGAGAAACGCTTTCAACAATGTATGTATCAAAGTTCCCACAATCCCAAATAGATTTCCAAAGGTCCATGGGCAACACCAAAGGTAGCCTCATCATGCCAACCTTGCCAATGGAACCTTTGACTGGCGACACCTTCACAGGAACTGCCCGTTGATTAACCATGACAGCTGCAGGAGGTAGTTTGCGCATTAGATCTCGGTGCACATTGTTCTTGTGTGCTCCATGCGACCCCAACTGGGAGAGGATTTCCCACTCGTTAATTTTACCATACCCAGCCTCACCAAGGTCGTTCTTGGCGGCTTGCGCAATTTGTTGCACCAAGGTAGCAGGGATCCTTCCCCCAGCCCAAAGATCTATGAGCAAGGACGCCAAAGATGATTTGATCATTTGGCTTCTAAAGAACTGGTCCTCGAA